AAATTCTATATCTTCAAACTAATACACTGCAGAGGTTAAGAAAATTCTATATCTTCAAACTAATACACTGCAGAGGTTAAGAAAATTCTATATCTTCAAACTAATACACTGCAGAGGTTCAAAATATTTTACTAAAACCATTTTGTAGCTTCACTACTTCGTTATAGACCATGTTATCACGTCCTGCCATGCTTTATATGTCAGCCTTGTTATCTTCACCATAAGTACAAGTGATATCCCCATCTTAAAAATTCTAAATTACCTATCTGAACCCAACTTTATGATATAAGTTTATGAATATTTTGCGTCCAAAATAGCTGTTACACACCATTCCCAAAAGCGGTAAATTTTTGGTGGCATTATACAACCTACGAAACGCCCAAGAATTCCAACATGTAATTCTGATACATTCTGTTCCTCTTTGACTTTATATTGGCTATGTTTGTCACGTGGCTTGCTGATTTACATATTCAAAATCGTTTTAATATAAAAAACTCAGTCCCTCTGTGTAAGATTCTCAAAACATCGAACACAATAGTTGTAAATATATTAAACTTTGTGCTACAATTTAATTGTTTGTTTACGGCGGCTGGTATAAAAGAAAAGCAAACCTATGTGTTAAGTGAATGTGTTAATAATTGAAAAACGTTCTGAAATATCAACATTCTAAAGGCTACAAACAACATAATCTCGTAGTAATTAAACGTATCAAATAGCAACCCGATCTACTCTGATGTTTGAGTTATCCTTGTTTGTTATGAATTTCGCGCAAAGCTACACTAGGGCTATCTGCGCTAGCCGTCCCTCATTTAGCAGTGTAAGATTAGAGGGAAGGCAGCTATTCATCACCACCTACCGTCAACTCTTGGGTTACTCTTTTACCAACGAATAGTGAGATTGACCGTCACTTTATAACGCCCTCACGGCTGAAAGGGCGAGCATGTTTGGTGTGACGGGGATTTGAACCCGCGACCCACAGATTGCGATTCGAGCACCCTAACCACCTGGCCATGCCGAGCCGTTGAGTTATGCAACGTGCGCAATGAGCAGATCAACCTCATTAGGCTGAATGTAAGTGATTAAATGCTTCGTGAGCTTGAAAAATCTTCGCGTTTCCTTTATTAGTCACCAAATAACACTCTAGTCATGACTGGGAGATAATTGTGTTTTTATTTGTTCACCACAGACCAAAGATTTGTATGAGACTGTTTTTACCACTAAACCTATACTAGAAAAACAATCGATATCTAAACTGTGTGTTTGACGTCGATGCGCGAAATGCCTATTTGCGATGAATTGTGAGTTTAATATTCCTTGTGTTAAACGTCTTCAGTCGTGTGTGTGTGTGTGCGGACAGTGATTGATCTGGCAAACCTGAAATGTGAACGTTGTTAGCTAAGGCCATCACACTGTTCTTGAAATTTCCTATGAAAATTGGAAAGATAAACAGTTGTTAAGAAAACATCATGACAATTTATGCTTTGTATATAGTAAAAGTGTCAGTAGCTGTATCTGTCCAAGGGTTACAAACATTATGTTAAATAACTTGCTTGGACGAACGTTATTCATATGCAACTTGTGAAACACAACCAAAATTTGTCCATGTAGGAATTGACTTTTTATTTTGTTATGTTCGTATTTGTACAAATGAAAACATAAATCATTGTGCTTCTGTGAGTGTTTTCAGACAGAGTAGGGAGATGACGGGTTGTATAACGTAAATATGTTTGCTTAGCACAACACATTAGTAATGCAAACAAATTAATATTTCAAATCGTGTTTCTTTGTTTGTAGTTAAGCACAAAGCTACACAATGAGCTATCTGTCCTCTGCCCACCACGGGTATCAAAACCCGGTTTCTAGCGTTGTAAGTCCGCAGACATACTTCTATGCCACTGGGGGGCAATATCTCAAATGTAAATTCATCATATTATGTTTCCCTCATTTTAAAATAATGTCTAAACGAGCTAAACCTTTAACAACATATTATAAATACAAATACCAAGACATACTGTAAATCAGTGCGGTCCAACCTTTTACCCATGGTAGGCTGGACTGTAGACAATGGGAGGATTGGAGGGACAATACTTGTTACTAATGTGACTTACGAAACGTGTTTTTCGTATCAAAATTTTCTGTGAGTAAACATTTTGGTAATGCATAAACTTTAACACGTGGTTAAGTAATGCGTGAGCAGGCCTGATAAAGTCACCCATAAGGCGGATACGACCCATCAGTTGTACTACACAGTTATGGAAAGTTCAGTAAAGTTGGACTGATTTTCTGATAGGCTAATTTCGAGAAGTATGATCATTTTATTTACATTCATTGGGCTTAGTGTCGGAAACGAAGAGCTATGTCTCTTAGGAAATCACAAATAATAAGTCACAGCGTATTTGTGTTCTTTTGTACGAAAACAAGTTTACATAATGCGCGTGTTAAACATGAATATTTATTTTGTTCCTTTGAATGTTCACACAAAATGACAAAAAGACCATCTGACATCTGCCGCTTTTAATTTTGCCAACTATTGGGTTACTTTAGCCTGACCGAATATTGGCGTTTTACATCACTGTTATAGCGCACCTATGGCTCCATATGCGAAGCAGGTTTTTGAAGCAACCAGTGATCACGTTAACTATTAAGCCACGCATGGCACGTTGAGCATGTTGTATCGACTTCAGACTTTATGTTCCCGCTGAGAGCTTATTTTTACGTGCTTCTTTCTCTAGTCTACCAATTCAAAATTAGGGACGGCTCTGCACAAACAGCTCTTTGGTTTGCGTGAAACAAACAAACAATCTGTCATGTAAGCAACATTTTAGATGTATGGCAAAGCTATTAAGACTATTTGCCGCCGTCCCCTACTGACCAAAAGAAAAACAGATAGTCAATAACAAACTACCATCCACATTAAGGGATTGATTGTCACTGTTATAACGTACCCATAGCTTAAAGTGCAGGAATATTTTGTGGTATTGCACGGATTCGAATCCGAAATCAGAAATAACCAGAGAGCCAAGCCACGCCCTTGAACATAATAATGTATTATTTTACATTATTCTTACTACAGGATCTGTTAAACATATCGAGATCAAAATTATGATCATTAATAAATATTTATTGTAAACTACTACTAACTATCTATAAATATATGAAGCCAAGTTCATAAAGTTAATTATTAAAAAAACAGTACGCACACGAATATTGTTTTAATGTTTTTTGTTGTTTTTTTTTTTTTTTTTGTCTTCGCAGATCTGTTCAAATATTCTCACATTTTCATAGCTTTTAATATAACCACATTGAATTTGAGATTTTATATAGATAAATACACACTTTAGGGTCGCTCTTCAAACAGTTTCTTACAAAAAACCAAATGAATAAGTCAGATATCGTTTTATTGGAAGAGCAAATAACGAGTAAAGCGATTACGTAAATGGTGAAAAGTACATTTAGTTCACTTTTGGTCAGCGATTTTGCTAAGTGAAGAAAAACATGAAATGTCTTGTAAATGAAAACTCACGTTTGATTCAAAGTGTTAAAATGCATCATGACAGATATTTCGGAGTCAATATCAGTGTTTAAATCAGCAAGTCATGAGAAAAACATAGATGATATATAGTTACTGTGGAACTGAATGTATCGGAACTACATATTGGAGTCGTTTGGCGTTTCGTAGGTTTTCTTCTTTGTGTCGTCGTAGAACGATAATCTATTAAAATTAACCGGTCTGCAAGCTGTTTTATATATATTAATCACAAAACTTTGGAATTTACAAAAGCTTAGAACTATGACAAGGTTGAATGACATTGTAAAGTACATGCCCATCTACCTCTCTATACGTATATTATGGTTTAATGTTCCAATTTTCAAAGCTTTTTGCACTCGAGTTTATTCTGAATTTGTACTTGTTTAATATAATACATCATACATTACTAATTCATCATCTCGCGATCAAATACATACGCAACTAAAAATGGCATAACTTCATTTTTTTATTCGCTGCGTGGGCACTTCTCTTTTCTCTTCAAATGAAAATTATGAATCTATTTATAGGTAAAAATATAATATACAATATATATTACTATTATTTCGGTTATTACAGTATTGCTAACAATGTTTAAACACTTTTCACATAACAAGTGGATATGTATATCATTGACATGCACTTAGATTTTAATACTTCTAATAAATGATGAGCAGAATAGGCTTAACTCACCTGAAAATACAGCGAGCGTTACCACTAATGAGTCCGTGTTTTAAAAACACAAATATAAAATGACAGTTTAGTATTGAAGAAAAAAATATCGAACTTCAAGAGAAGGATGAAATTGTGTAAGTAATTAAGCTAATTAATTCCTTACTAATTAAAATTGTTGCACTTTAAATGAACGAAATAGTTCCAGCAAAATATACTTATCAGTCTGTACACATCACTGGTTTAACTCCAGACGCACGTTCTGCAAACAACCAACAACTTTAAAACAAAGAAAGCTCGTCAACAACGGTTAAAACGCAGTGTTTCAAGGAACTAATATACATGACCAATCCTTGGCGTCGTTTAGGAATTCTGTAGAGCTTTAAACAATCACCTAACACAACCAGCCAACTGCGCACTAAATGCGCCTGTTGGTTTGATGGTAAGATTTCTTCGGATACCTGAGATCTTTTGTAAATAATTCTCCGGTTGAAGTGATCATTTTATTCGGTCTTGACCTTTTTTTGTAAATAACTTTTTCTCCTATTATGATACACAATCATGAGAAATGATAAAAAAAAGTATCTTTGTTTCATTAACTACAAACAATCACCAGCAAATGTTGCCAAAAACATTACCAAAGTACAAAGTTCGTTAATTTTCTACACTGAATAAAAATACTTTCCTGGCGAGAAACAGATCAACTACATACACCAGAATAGGAATGAGCAAAGAACATTATGGCTAGTGCAGACGATTACAGTTAGTCGTCGGAATTGAAAGGCCAAGTATCTCCAGCAGCTGGTCTGGCATTTTGCCAAAACAGAGTGAAAAAAAAAGTCTAAAGTCTTTTCGGTGTAGTATTTTTGGAAATTCTTTGATTTTAATCTCTATAACTTCCCTATTTTCTTCTACCAATCAATTAATTTCCAGTTTCATAATTTCAATCTTTCTTAATAGTCAGTACAAACGAAGTTAAAGAACGTTTTTTTAATGATGATTTATTCTTTTAAGTCAATTTATGATGAAAATATATTGCCACGATGGGTCGGCGGAAAGTTTACGCCTTTACAACACAAAAGTTCGGCGATCAATTTCCTGCGGTGAACAGATAGTAAGTATAATAATGGCTGGAGACGGCTTGAATGGGTAATGAAGAAAAACTTTAATATAACAGCAAATGTACAACGTTTCGACAAGGTTTTGTCATCATCAGGTTTTTTCTTCATTACCCATTCAAGCCGTCTCCAGCCATTATTAGTCTCAAAGTGGGTTCCTCGTCATCGAAGATAGTAAGTATATAACCGATTGTGTAGCTTCGCATTAAGAAAACAACAACCACTTAGAAAAATAACTGTGTTACTCAAATTTTTACACTAATTGTTAAAGATACAACTTTGTAGCTAGGTCTTCTAAATTATGTGTCTAATTAATATAAACATTTTCAATGCATCAAAATAATATAATTTTATTAACGATAAACATCACTTATAACTATTTTAAGAAATGTGCGCGGTTTAACGGCATAAGCATCATTTTCTAATAATTAAAGCTAAAAATTGTTAACGCAATTAGAAAATAAAGGTTACCACTATTTTGATTCCACATCATACTTATTTCAATATTTTGTGTAACTCAAATAGCCCCTTTCTTCGAACGTGGCTCAGTACTTAATGTGCCGAACTATAGATCTTCGGGTCTTTCGTTTGCTTCTCGTTACGAAAACTAAATAAATAAAATGAAATAATAAAAGAAAAAGTGCTCCGCACTTTGTGGCAGTGAGTGCCTTATACGAGTGACGGTTAAATCCCATTATTTGGTCGGACAACAGTAGTCCAAAACTTGTCAAGGAGTGCTATTGACTAGTTGCCTACACTCTAGTCGATCAGCTCAAAACGAGGAACGGCTAGCGCATATAGTTCTCTGCACCAATATTCGAAAACAAACACACTATTTTTTGAGTTAGAAGAATAAGAAAGAATAATTACGCAAAACGACTTATCTATTCAAGCCCCCCAGTGGCACAGCGGCAAGTCTGCGGACTTACAACGTTAGAATCCGGGTTTCGATACCCGTGGTGGGCAGAGCACAGATAGCCCATTGTGAAGCTTTGTGCTTAATTACAAACAAAAAACAAACAATTATCTATTCAAGAAATTATATAAATCCAGACTTGTTATCCTTTATCTGAAACTCAAAACCATTCAATTATTGTTATTTAGGAAATTATATCTAAAGACTTATTTTCTGTTATCAATACATACAATCTAGAAGATTTAGTTAGTTAGTTTTGAATTTCGCGCAAAGCTACACGCGGGCTACCTGT